TGGAGTGGGTCTTCCAGCTCAGAACTTCCCTGAACTCGGCTTCTCGAGTTGAGTGATGTAACAGTGACCCATGGATCATCTCTGTTCGTAAACCAGGGGTACTTGATATAACAAACCTGTAACATTTTAAATTTGTTAATTAATGATGATGAAGCAAATATTGAAAATAATTGACATCTATATTTTTAATTACAGGATCGGCCTGAGAAGCAAGAATGAAAGGATCGTAATATGGTAGTTTTCGCCTCGAATGTACTGATGTAACACCAAATGCATCTGTTCTAACACCTCGATCCGGAGTGTTGTCGTACCAATCACAATATAAAACAGTGCACCGCAATCCAACCATGCCCGGATACATGATTTCCAAAATCTCGCTTATGTTTCCGTAGTATACATCATCTCCAGATGCAGAGCAAACACCAACATCATAAGTCGTACTCGAACGTCTCCTCTTAGAAGTTGTGAATGCTTATCCCCGAGAAGCAAATCTCGGATATGACTTCACCACATACTTTGGGCCCCACACCATCTCGCGTAGCCAATCGTCAAATGTTTCACCTCTGGCCATACCATCAGACACCTATTAATAAAACATATGTTTTATCTCTCATATTAGTATAAAAATGTGGTAAATAGTATAAAAAATTGTTTAAAGCACTCACATAAGTAAGCATCCATCGAGCAAATACTCTTTGCTTCAGTGCTTCTTGTTCCTGTTCTGTGGCGTATCTATTTTCGAACCGCTTTTCCGCCATGAAAATCATGTACATATGATGACAATATTAAAATTTGAACTTGTTAAAATAAATATTTTTGAGCTAAATTTTTTACCTCTCATATTGAAGAACATCTTCGCAGTTGGTGAGCAAATATATTTGCAATTGACTGTGCTCCTCCTCAGTAAGTCGACGGTTCTTTGCTTTTCCGCTGAGTCGTCCAACATCTGTGAAGATGTCTGGAACCGTAACATAATATGTTGCCCTTTCGCCTCTATCGTCATGCCGAGCGGCTTTTCTGGTTTTCGTCTGCACTTCTCGGGGAAAGTAGTGCTCCGCAAAGTTTGAAGTTTCTGCTCTGATAAACTGTGCCACTATAGAATCTTCCACCCTACTTAAATTTTTCACCATCTTCTTCAGATGAAACATATACCGCTCATACAGATACATCCATCTATACTGCACAGGACCACCAAGTTCCAGTTCTCTTGGCAAGTGAATAACAAGATGCTCCATAACATCAAAAAAGGAAGGAGGAAATATCTTCTCAAGGTTGTACTTGATCACGGCTATGTTAGTCTTCAAGTTTTCAATACATTCAGGAGTCACTGATCTCGTGCATAAATCGCGGAAGAAAGCACTTATCCCTGCAACTGCTTCATAAATATTCTTTGGTAATAGTTTCTTGAAGGCAAACGGAAGGAGGCACTGCATCATTACATGGCAATCGTGACTCTTCAAGCCGGTAAACTTTCCTTCGTTTCTGTCGACACAGTTACGCAAATTAGATGCGTAACCGTCTGGAAATTCCTCATCCTTTGAAATCCAATCAAAGAACGCATCTTTGGCCGCTGCATCAAGTCGGTATATGGGAAAAGGAGCCCTGCCATTCTCATCAACATGAAGTTCTTCACGAGCACATATATCGACTAAATCCAGTCTTGACTTCAAATTATCCTTCGTTTTACCTTGAACGTTAAGGATCGTGTTCATCAGGTTGTCGAAAAAGTTNCACATATATCGACTAAATCCAGTCTTGACTTCAAATTATCCTTCGTTTTACCTTGAACGTTAAGGATCGTGTTCATCAGGTTGTCGAAAAAGTTCTTCTCAATATGCATGACATCTAAATTATGCCTCAGCAGATGATCCTTCCAGTATGGCAGATCCCAGAAAATACTCTTTTTGTGCCAGTTATGTAGATCTCCAACGGCATCAACCGGATAATGCACATGTCCACCCACGTCTGGGGTCCTTTCTGCACCAAAATCTCTTAGTTGTGTCAACATTTCTCTCCCACTGATTTCCGGAGGTGGACTGTCAAACACCCTCTTGTTCTTCGTAAACAAATTCCTACTCCTGCGATATGGATGATCTGGTGGTAGGAATCTCTTGTGACAGTCAAACCAACACGTTTTCCTTCCATGTTTTAGTTGGAAAGCATCAATGTTATCTTGACAATATGGACATGATAGCCTTCCATGCGTTGTCCATCCAGATAACATACCATATGCTGGAAAATCACTTATTGTCCACATAAGTACTGCCCGCATTTGGAAGTTTTCTTTACACGAAACATCGTATGTTTCAGCACCTTGACCCCATAGTTGTTGCAACTCATATATTAGTGGCTGTAGAAACACATCAAGTGATCTCCTAGGATGCTCTGGCCCGGGAACGAGAATGGAGAGAAATAAAAACTCTCGACGCAAGCACAAGTTTGGCGGTAAGTTGTATGGTGCGAGAATGACTGGCCATAGAGAATACTGTCTCTCATGCTTCCCAAATGGGCTGAAACCGTCCGTACATAATACAAGGTAGGCATTTCTTCTCTCATACGCAAATTCTGGATAGGTCGACTGGAAATGCTTCCAAGCTTTTGCATCTGAAGGATGTCTAATCTCACCATCCGTTGAATGCTCCGCATGCCATCTCATTGGTTGCGCTGTGCGTTCAGACTGATACAACCTCTGCAACCTTTCCGTCAAAGGCAAATACCACATCCTTTTATATGGCACTGGAACTCTTCCACTCGTATCTTTATAACGAGCCTTCCCACAAAACTTGCATGTATCCAGCTGCTCATCTGCCCTCCAATAAATCATGCAGTTATCCCTGCATACATCTATTACCTGATACGATAAACCAAGACCAGCTACCAGTTTCTGAACCTCGTAGTATGAACCAGGGGCAACATTATCCTCAGGTAGAACACCTTTTACAAAATCAGCAATCGCATCCACACAGTCTTCAGCCAAATTATAATCGGATTTAATGCTCATCAGTCNCCTGATACGATAAACCAAGACCAGCTACCAGTTTCTGAACCTCGTAGTATGAACCAGGGGCAACATTATCCTCAGGTAGAACACCTTTTACAAAATCAGCAATCGCATCCACACAGTCTTCAGCCAAATTATAATCGGATTTAATGCTCATCAGTCTTGTTGCAGATGATAAAGCTGAATGACCATCTCTGCAACCTTCGTACAAATGTTGCTTTCTAGTATCCAACATATCATAAAATCTCCTAGCTTCTGCATTGGGTAAATCTTCCCCTCTAAAATGATTATTTACCATCTGCTCAGTACCTACACCATAATCTACGCCCGTTCTAATTGGTTCTTCTAACCTAACCGCAGGCTGAGGTTCGCTAGTACTACCATATTCATAACTAGTTTCCCCATGATGATACCAAACTTTGTAACTCCGTGTAAACCCTCGAATATATAGATGAGTCCAAACATCTAACTGTTTAATAACCTTCCTATTTTTACAAGTAGAGCAAGGACATCTTAACATACCCGTTTCAGCTTCCGGTTGGTTGAGAGCTTTCCCCATGAATTCCTTTAGACCACTTTCGAATTCTGACGTAAGCAATCTCGTGTTCGGATCCGTATGAGGTCGATCGATCCACGAGCGATGATAATTATAAGAAGACATGTTTTTTTCAATCAGATTGGTGTGTGCAAAATAGAATGAGAGAGGATGAAGATGTGGAGTGAATGAAGAGGATGAGGGGTGCTTGTATTTATAGATGAAATCTGCCGACAATTCCCACGAAATTTCCAGGAAATTCTGAGGTACTAGCCGTTGCCGTCGTAATTTCCTCGGAATTTTTGAAATACCACAACGGCTAACTAACGGCTATAATTTCTCATCAGAATTTCATCGAAAAATTCCGAGGGAAAGTGTGTTCCTCGGAATTTCCTAGGTATATTCCGAGGAAATTCCGAGGAAACACATAAATTATGTTTCCTAGAAATTTCCTCGGAATATTCTGAGGAACCAACGTTCCCTCGAAAATTCCCTCAGTATCACTCTGTTTTCTTGTAGTGTCCCATTTCAGATTTGTACCAAAGACATTTTTGTTAAAGCATGATTTTGAGGCTGAACTCAGATGTTGGGTTTTAAAAGAATTCGCGGGAAATCTTCAGGATGATGTGTCAAATTCTTATTCGTGTGAGTCGAAAATAACAACTGAAAGGAAATTGACGTCAAGGATCTTAGGGATAATGATGAATCAACTATAAAAGAAGTTTAAAGCATAGGTTGTAAGGTTAAGCATGTTGGGGAAAAAAAAAGGTTAAGCATGTTGGAAGAATTAAAAAAACCGCTTCTTCAAAGCTTGTGAGTTAGAGATAGAACGTGTGAGTTCTGAGTTTGAGTGTTAAAAAGATTAGAGTTTGGTCAGTTGCAATTCACTTCTGTGTGAAGGTGCATAATTCTGATTAAACAGAAACAAGTGTTTTTTGTTTAAGAGATTTCTAATAAAACACTTGTACGTTGGGTTTGATTCAAGCTCTTGGATATATTCATTTAGATATAGGTTTTTCAATTTTGACATACCTCTTGAGTTTATTATGTCAGCGGGCATCACAGATAGGCTAATCACATAGCTGTTTGCAATTTTATTGTTAGGTTTAGAGTTGGTCATAGTATCCAGATCCGAAATCTGAATAGGAATCCGATCATGGAGGTGGTTGATCACACGTAGTAGATGATGCAAGCATTACGTATAAGTCTTGACAAGTCTTGAAAGACTACAATTTTGTTTTGTCTTTATACAGTCAAATGTAAGAAATTGAAAAGTCTTGAGTCTCGACAATTTTGCTTTGCCCTCTTTGTTTTTTCTTTTTACTTCGGACCTATGGCGCCCTATCCACTTTTATAAATTCCATTCGCTTCTCCTTCTGCTTCCTCATGCTCAAAAACCCTTTCTGTGTTTAAACGCATTTTCGTCGAATCTTTTTGCTTAGTCCTCGAAAGGTTCATTCATCAATGGCTGAAGAAGCTTACAAAGTTCGTAGGATGAAACTTGGGAGCCAAGGCCTTGAAGTTTCGGCTCAGGGACTTGGTGTCATGGGTCTCTCTGCTTTCTACGGCGCTCCGACACCTGAGACAAACGCCGTCATTCTCCTCCATCACGCTATTAACTCTGGAATCACATTCTTAGACACCTCCGATTTCTACGGCCCCGAGACAAACGAGCTGCTCCTGGGAAAGGTAATCACAGCTTTGTTTGTGCTTTACGGGATTAGGGTTATGATTTAGCGTTTAGGTTTTGAGCTCGATGCCAATCATCAGCTCTGATTGTATCTTTTTCCTTGACAGGCTTTGAAAGATGGGCTGAGGGAAAAAGTGGAGTTAGCGACAAAGTTTGGGCTCGTTACTTCTGAAGATGGAAAATTAGGTTTCAGGGGAGATCCAGAGTATGTTCGGTCTGCTTGTGAGGCAAGCTTAAAGCGTCTTGGTGTTGCCTCCATTGATCTTTATTACCAGCATCGGATTGATACCACTATTCCCATCGAAATCACGGTAACTGCTTCCTGGTTTCAGTTTTCCTCCAAACTTGTGTCTTAATAAAGACATAGAATGTGATGAGTTATAAGTAGGCATGAGCACTTTTATCCGGAAGCCAAGAACTGAACCAAAAAAACGAGGTTTGGTTTGGGTTTGGATCCTACCAGTTGCCCAACGCATCCTATACATCTAGAAATAAAACCGAATCGGAACTGAATCAAAACCGAACGTAAACCAATCGTTACCCAAATTTCTATACTTATAATTATTAACTATTTAATTTTAAAATAATCAAAGAATTAAAAATATTATTTGTAACCGAAATATCCAGAGAAACACAAGAATATTATTTGATCCAAAATATTTAAAATTATCCAATTTTGATCCACCCCCCCCCCTTTCCCCCAAAATAACTTTTTAACCCGAATTAACTGAAAAATTGGGACTGAACCGGAACCATATAGGATCCAGCTTTATCTCGAGTATTAGCCGATTTCTAACTTTGATCTGAAACAAACAGAAACCAGCCAAATTTTTTTAGATACCCAACAGATCCTAAACCGAAGAACTGAATGCCCATGGCTACTAATAAGTGTTAAGGGAACAACTTGGAGTATGAGATATGCTTGGTTTTAATATTCTGTTACTTTTTAATTGATTGAACTTATGATTTTATGAACCTGTACTCAAAGATGGGAGAACTGAAGAAGCTTGTTGAAGAAGGTAAAATAAAATACATCGGTTTATCTGAAGCCTCTGCTTCAACGATCAGAAGAGCACATGCTGTTCACCCTATAACCGCTCTGCAGATAGAATGGTCCTTATGGTCAAGAGACGTTGAAGAATATATCATTCCCACCTGCAGGTGTGTGCGAATCATATTCAGCTATAACCTTCCTCTTCATTTATATTTTCAAGTCATATCGCCTCTTTTATATCTTCAGGGAACTTGGAATTGGAATTGTAGCTTATAGTCCTCTAGGAAGAGGTTTCTTGGCTTCAGGAACCAAACTTGTTGAGAATCTTGAGCACAGTGACTATCGAAAGGCAAGTACACAACTGATTCAGTTCTCTGTTCCATTGAGTATATTTCAAGATTTGAACTCACCTAACTATGTTCTTGTTCCATGCTTTTTGCTGTATTCACAGAGTCTACCGAGATTCAAAAAGGAGAATCTAGACTATCAGATGAGCTCTTGACTCTGTGAAGAAGATGAGCTCAAACAGAAAATGATTCCCTTGATTAAACGTTCTGTTACAAGTTACCGTATATAGTAACCATATACCGGTTTACATCCGGTTTACAGACTCAATAACCCAACTTACATTGAACCATATTAAACCAAGATCTTTTATAGTTAATATTCCCCCTCAAGATGGCAAGAAGATTGAACGGAGTGACATCTTGCGCACCAGAGAACGAAACAAACCAGGTTGCAGAGGCTTGGTAAACACATCCGCGATTTGAGCTTCACTGCGAACATGAAGTGTCTTGATCAAGCCACTGACAATACGATCTCGTACCTGATGACAATCAAGCTCCACGTGTTTGGTTCTCTCATGAAAAACAGGGTTATTAGCTATATGGATTGCAGCTGTTGAGTCACAATAGAAAGCAACAGGTTTTGTTTGTGGAGCCTGCAATTCCATCAACAGGTTGACAATCCAAATGACTTCCTTAACAGCAACTGACATAGCACGGTACTCAGATTCAGCTGAGGAATGAGAAACAACATCTTGTTTCTTGCTTTTCCATGAAATCAGAGAATTCCCAAGGAATAAGCAAAAACCAGAAGTTGAACGTCTAGTGTCAGCACATGAACCCCAGTCTGCATCCGTGTAAGCTTTAAGTGTCAAGTCAGAGGTCGATGAATAGAATAACCCAAGACCAATCGAGCCTTTGAGAAAACGCAAGACACGGTAAGCAGCTTGCAAATGAGAAGGCTTGGGTGAGGAAGCAAACTGACAGAGTTTGTTTACTGCAAAGGTAATGTCCGGTCGAGTAATGGTGAGATACATCAAGCGACCTACCAGACGACGGTAAACCGTAGGGTCGTCCAAGACAGGTTCCAAAGAATCTTGACAAAGTTTGACATTAGGATCCATTGGAACATTGGAAGGCTTACAAGCGAGCAAACCAGTGTCTTCTAGGATGTCCAAAACGTACTTACGTTGACATATAGCAATACCTTGGTGTGACCGAGCTATCTCAAGACCCAGAAAAAACTTCAACGGTCCGAGATCACGCAACTTGAAAGATTTGTGCAAGTTGTCCTTAAGACTAGCCACTGCAGAATCATCACTGCTAGCTATGATTATGTCATCGACATAAACCAAAACCGCAATGTACTTACCACCATCATTTTTAATGAAGAGTGTATGATCAGTATGGGATTTCTTGAAACCCAAAGACAACAAAGTGATACTGAATTTGAGAAACCACTGCCTTGAAGCCTGCTTTAACCCATAGAGAGATTTCTTGAGCTTGCAAACCGCATTCACAGGAAGTGTTTCCCCCTCTTTTGGCGTGTAGCCTGGAGGCAAAGACATATAAATTTCTTCGTCTAGATCTCCATTCAGAAATGCATTAGAGATATCAAGCTGAGTCAAACTCCAATTCTTTGCTGCAGAAACAGATAAGAGTGTTTTGACAGTAGTCATTTTAGCAACAGGAGAGAAAGTGTCAATGAAATCCACTCCCTCTTGCTGTGTATAACCCTTAGCAACAAGGCGTGCTTTGTATCTCTCCAAAGTCCCATCAGCATGAAGTTTAACTTTATAAACCCATTTGCAACCGATCTTGTGTTTACCATCTGGAAGAGAACATATAGTCCATGTGTCATTACGTTCCAAAGCCAGTAACTCCTCATTCATTGCATTAAGCCACTCATCAAATCGCTTGGCCTGAGCAAAAGAAGTTGGTTCCACATGTTGAGCTAGAGCACATATATAAGATTCATAGCCTGCAGATAGCTTGGCATAAGAAATATAAGCAGCCAGAGGATAAGGTAAATCTGTATCAGTCACATGACAGAGATATTCATTCAGATAACCAGGTGGCTTAGAAACACGTTTTGAAGCTTCTCTATTCGGATGCATGTTCGTATCATCAGAAGTTTCACTCACAACAACAGTAGGACGATCAACTACAGGATCAGTACAAACCATTGAAGGAGATTCAGTTGTGATGATAGGAACTTCACTAACTTCAGAGTGAGGCATTGATTCCTTAGAGAAGAAACTGTCCAAAGGTACATCTTGAGTTGTGGTAAAAGGAAAGATCGTTTCATAAAAGACCACATTACGAGAAATATGAACCTTGTTGGACTCCAAATCAAGCAACTTGTATCCTTTATAACCGGAGGGATAGCCAAGAAAGATACAAGGCTTAGCACGAGGTTGAAATTTATGCCTATTCTTGGAAGATGTAGACATATAAGCCAAACAGCCAAAGACCTTTAAACCACTGTAATCTGGAGGTTTAGCCATAAGTACCTCATAAGGTGTCCTGTTCTTGAGAAGAGGAGCCGGTGTCCTATTAATAAGAAAAACAGCCGTTAACACTGCATCTCCCCAATAATCCAGAGTCAAGTGTGATTGAAACATCAAGGCCCTGGCAACATTTAAAATGTGTTGGTGCTTCCTCTCAACTACAGAGTTCTGCTCTGGCGTTTCTGGACAAGAGTGATAAGCCAAGATACCTTTCTTCTTAAACAGAGCAGTAAACCTGAGTTCCGGAGCATTATCTGAACAAACCCCTTTAACCGTTGCCTTGTACTGTAATTCAATCATCTGAAGAAACTCTGGAAATACACGAAGCACCTCATCTTTGCTACGAAGCAAATAAACCCATGTTACTCGTGTATGATCATCCACCAATGTGAGAAAATATCTGTAACCTTCAGATGTACACACTGAGAAAGGCCCCCATATGTCCATATGAAGAAGATCAAAAGCATGAGCACAGACATTGTTAGGAGAAATGTAACGTAAACGCTTCTGTTTGGCAAGAGGACATATATCACAGTGAAAAGTTGTTTTATTCTTGAAATTAAAACCAAGTACATCACTGAGAATAGCAGTTTTCTCCACAGATGGATGGCCTAATCTATTGTGCCATAAATGAGAATCAACAATAACATTGGTACAGAATGTGGAGCTCTCCACATCAACTGATTCTGCCAAGCTTGTTGCATCCAGCACATATAGATTTGCAACTTGTTCACCCTGTCCAATCATCAACCCCTTGATATGATCCTGTATCATGCAAGAAGTATCATCAAAGATAATCCGATAACCCAACTCTTTAGTAACCTGACTGACACTCATCAAGTTCAGCCTGAAGTTAGGTATATACAAGACATTGTTCAAAATCAAAGAATTACTGAGTCTCACTCGTCCCACTCCTTCAATACGAACTCCCATGCCAGTAGGTAATGTAACAGAAGCATTTAAAGAAACCTTAAAAGTCTCAAATTTACTCCTATCACACACGACATGGTGAGTCGCACCACTGTCTACAATCCAGGAATCAGAAACCAAAACACTATCTGTAGCTTTCAAAATACCAATGAATCTCAGAGTAGAAGAGGAACAAGCCATACCCGGTAAAGCAGTGATAGTAGCCCCTGAAGTAGACCCAGTGTGGAAAGTACTAGATGAGGAAGGTTGAAGCTGCGAGTTAAAGTAAGCAATAACCCCTTCAATCTGATCTTTAGTGAGACTGTTGATGACATTAGGAATGCTCTGACCTCCAATCTCTGTAGAGTTCAGTGTCAATTGAGCAGTAACAGGTTTAGAAGGATTTTGTGGTTTTCCAGAAGAAGTATTTTTCTCAGACTTAGACTTGTTTTTGTGTTTAAAATCGATGGGGTATCCATGGATCTTGTAGCAAGTCTCAGTCGTATGTCCTGTATAACCACAATGAGTACAAATCGGCTTGTTCTGCTTCTGATGATAACTTGCAGCATTAATCTGAGATGCCTGATCATTAGCAGAAACATTGACATTGAAGGCAGTAGCATTCTGAACTGAAGTAAAAGACCGTTGGCTGTGATCTTGATCCAGGAGATGATAGATCTCAGAAAGCTCAGGGATGTTCTTCTTCATGATTATCTGACTACGGATAATAGAGTAAGACTCATTCAAACCAGCTAAGAATTTGATAACCTTCGCTTGATCAGCCTGTTTACCCATAGATTTGCAACAATCACAATTACGACATGTCTTAGAACACGCAGCTCCATCAAGTTCATCCCAGAGCGTTTTCAGAGTAGTATAGTAAGTAGCCAGATCCATAGAACCTTGCTGCAACGACCATATTTGTTGAGAGAGTTGATACGATCTAGGAATATTAGTGATATGGAAACGAGTCTCCAGATCTTTCCAGATTTCAGACGCATCATTAAAACGAAGTATACTCTTATAGATCTGCTTCGAAACAGAATTAAGAATCCAAGACTTCACCATAGAGTTGCAACGAGACCAGATTCTAAAGTTCCGATCAGATTCAAGAGGTCTAACTAACGATCCATCAATGAATGCTAACTTATTCTTTGCATCTAAAGCAATATTCATAGCAATCTTCCAATTATCGTAGTTAGAACCATCAAGTACCTCAGAGGTGATCGCAAGTCCCGGATTATCGCCATTGGTGAGGTGGAAGGGAGAATGGATACTGTTGAGAGAATCGGGAGCAAAATCGAAAGGAGACGCAGGATCTGGTGAAGGAGTTTCACGAACGGAAGATCGACGAGCTGATGCTGTTGCGCGACCTACACGACGACCAACCTTCCTTCCGATCACCATTTACGATCAAATTTGTGAAAATAAAACGAAATCCAAATGAAATCGCTCGAAGAATGATCAATCGAGAGAATCACCGATTGATTTAGGTCAATAGAAAGAAGAAAAGAAACGGATCGGACGAGATTTCGAGTCTCGCCGCTCTGATACCATATCAGATGAGCTCTTGACTCTGTGAAGAAGATGAGCTCAAACAGAAAATGATTCCCTTGATTAAACGTTCTGTTACAAGTTACCGTATATAGTAACCATATACCGGTTTACATCCGGTTTACAGACTCAATAACCCAACTTACATTGAACCATATTAAACCAAGATCTTTTATAGTTAATATAGACCACAATAAGATTGTCTTCGAGAGAGTCCAAGCGATAGCAACAAAGAAAAGCTGCACTCCTGCACAACTAGCTCTTGCATGGGTTCACCACCAAGGAGATGATGTCTGTCCCATTCCAGGAACCACCAAAATCGAAAACCTCAATCAGAACATTGGAGCTTTATCCGTGAAACTCACTCCTGATGATATGGCTGAGCTTGAAGCCATTGCTAGACCGGATTTCGTCAAAGGGGAACGATATTGGGACATAAAAACTACTTACGACCACGCTGAAACTCCCCCATTGTCTTCTTGGAATGAAGTATGATTACTGAAGCACACAGATAGCCATAGCTTTCCAGCCCAAAGTAATTTCACAACCCATGTAATTAGGGTTACTCATACATATCTATATATGTTGTTATAAGCTCTTAAGTAGATTTGTTTCTTTATGCTAATACTAGGGCGCATGTATTCTATCTTCTTAATGAATCTTGTTATTCGTGAATTTTCTTCTCCATGTTGGTGTTGCTCAGCTTGCTCACTAGAGCAATACAGTTGGGAAAAGTGATACAATGTTGGAAACAAATATGATGAGCTTCGGGTTTGTAAGCAAAAAGTTTCATTTTACAATCCTTACATTGTGACAAAACTTTTAAAAAACTTATGTTCTATGTTGCCGGTACCGTTTTATGCCCTAGAACTTTCAGTTAATGCAGGTTCAAAGTTGGACAAGCAACAATACAAGAGAAAGCCGTATCATGTGACAGCTAACTAAGCATAAAGTATGAAATGCCTATGAAGATTGAAGGCCAAAACTTACAAAGATGTGTTCTGGATAGAAAACGTAAATAACTCTCATCTAAAACCTTACACAAACAGCTAAATCTATACAACCAACTCTAACATGGATATGTGCAACGAATTCATAATCTTGGATTGGCCACCAACGCATTTACTCACCAGAAAAATAAAAATCAGTCTATAAGACATGAAAGGGTTTGAAAAGTTATTTTTTGGTTAACCAACCGTTAACCCCTTCCACGCAAAATTAGCCGACAGCACAAAGGCTTCCACAAGATCCCATGGTCTTTGTTCAATCTTGTGTTTTGCAGTTGATAAACCATCTTCTTTCAGGCCAGCTCACATCCAATAAATGCCATTTCTCCAGTTTTCTGTGCTTATTTCCTTTAGGATTGGTCAAAATCAAATGTCCTTTAGCATTAGTTTCTTGGCTCCTGCTTCAGATGTATGCTCGAAGGAATGATATAAGAGCTCGACTAAAACACAGATAAAAATATTCTATTTTAACATCAATGTAAAGTAAACCAAACTACTTAAGGGTCTTATGCAAATCATATGCAGAGAAAATGCAAGATTGACTACCTGTCGTGTACTCGTCATTAACCTGCTAACAAGATCATTGTTTATTGAAACAGGCAATGGTGGCATCCGGCTGATGACACCAGGCATCTGCTTCATGCTGCAGCAATGATAAGTAAGAGTTTAGCAAATCAAGCTTTTATAAAAAAGAGAAAGACAGTAAAGGAAAATGTTTCATTAGTGATTCAACGTGCTATTAGATCCACATACTCATTCAAGATGGAACTGATGTTGTTTCTTGCAAGATAAAACAGGCTGATGTTATCCTGTGACTGTATGCATAAAATAAAATATTAGGATAGGAATTTTACAGATAAAGACAACCATACAGTAAATGGGGTTGGATGACCACTGCATGTGAAAAACATGATCAATAATATTTTAGTCATTTTTCTGCTCATGCCAATGTTTTACTACCAACTAGCATTTGGCTCAGATTACCTATTTGGTATTGCAAAAACAAAAATGCAAATCAAAAACCTTGCACGCAGAAAGGTTTGAAGAAATTTGACTAAATGCTTGAGCATTCTGCCGTAGAAGCTCCATAACTGCATCACTTGCACCTAAGAAAACAGGAGTTTGGAATATATATGAAACCTGAAAATGTAACAGCTGATGATAATGTATCAAGTTAACAAGGTTGATTTTTCTTTCCAAGATGGCACAACTAACTAGAAGATAAGATAATAATTAAGAGTGCCAAGGAACTCTCTAACATCAACAAGATGAACAACAAATTTTCCAGTAAATTTCTCGAGATTTTAGACAAGATGCACCTTGTCTTTCTGAAATATCCTTCTTTAAAGTTATATCCTTTGCAGGAATGAGACTGGAAGATAATAATGCCGACAATACTGTGAGTCTATGACCCAAATAGTACTAACCTTCAAAAGGCACGCGTGCACTCTGGCACATAGGGTTCATGACATATATAGCATTTTGTTGTGTCACGGTCGAAAACATGTTAAGTTTTGGGGGTAAATTCACCACCTTAATCAATAAAAAACAATTCATTTTCACCAATAACCTCTTCTAAATTAAAATATAACATAGATCATCTACAAATATATGTTTACTTGATTACAGAAAAAGATATACACTAGGATTTGGTTAAGCAAACATACCTTTCTATAACTAACATTCGTGGCACCATGCTCTTCTCCTTTTCTTCGTTTTTGCTGTAAGAAATGATACCATTCTTAGCCAAGACACTATAAAGGTCGAAGATGTAAGTAGTTATAAGATAAAATAATAGCGAACTAGCAGTTACTATAAAAACTAAAAAGCAGTAATACTGAAACTCTCTGATTAAACGAGTCACAAAAACAAGCCTATAACGCAATATCTAGCACAAAAACTTGTTTAACTTATTTTTCCACTTTATTATGTGAATTTAACACTACACTGTAAGGCATACTGCAGGTAGCACAAATACTATCCTTCATTAACGGTTACAAGTCAAAATCAATTCCAGAAAGTTCGAAAAGACCAAGGATTATCCAACATCACCCAGAAAGCTATATAAATTTTATGGTAACAGCAGATATCACATCAAGGCTATCGGCTTAGGGTCAAATCAAGTTCCAACATGAATCCGGAGCAAACAGAAATCCAGATCTACCGTCAGCAATACTTGTAATTACCCTCCTTGCACACCATCAACCATAATTTAGACAACCTTTCTGGTATGGTAGGGTATCTTTTAATCAATATAACAGTAGAACTTTAAGCCTACCTTATAGCCAACTAAAACCCTATAAGCGAACTTTTACTATAAGATTTTATCTTTAACAAATCATACAAAAAAGTAGCATAGCATCACCATATTGGTTCCCTCATACTTTTCATATGCTTTAATAGTTATAGAAATATCTCTAGCACCACTATTTTCATGACAGCCACGTACCATACAACAGCTGAATAATTTAAATTTCTTAAATCTCACAAGGATAAGAACAGTATCATGAATAACAAGAAGTATGCAAGGCGGCTCAGTTAAACTTAATGAGAAGGTGGTAAAAGTTCACCGTCATCCATTTACACCTCATAGCTACATCACGTACACTTTTATCTGGTAGAGTTGATGCGATCTTTACATACTTGGTGACCTGTGGTTCATCTTTAAACCTGAAAATGGCAAGAAAAAAGTAACTAACTAAAAACAACAAAAACAATTTCAAGAAAACTACCATTCAAGCAAATCTCAGCCAGTAAACAAAGGGTACAAAACTGATGTATCTAAAAGAAGAATCTGATTCGGGTTTATGATACGAGATAACACAATATGTGCTTTTACAGCTCAAGTGAGACGCAAAGTCAAGACCTTTTTCCTTCACATACATATCCTTAAACCGTCCAACATAAAAAATATACTAACGTGACTATTATGTATCTCTTCTTTTAACATTGTCTAATACCAAATATGAAGAGAACAAAAAAGAACAATGAAGATTAAGAGGAAAAAGACATACTTTGCAAGCCCTTTCTCCAGAATATACTGCTCTTCAACAGACCAATCAACAGCTAAAGTAGCTTCATGTCTGATTCCAGCCGGAGAATCAACAGTAAGGTGGAATCCGGAGGAAGCAGTCATGCTCGAATTAGCCGGAAATACTAAACCGGTCGTGCTAGTGGTCGGTACGCAGTAATTATCCATCCCGGATAGCAGAATAATGTTTGAGCTGAGAATCATTTTCGATTTAGGGTTTTAGCCAATTCAGAATTACACCCAAGAAAAAAAGGAGAAGAATTGATTAAACCCAAGAAAAACCCACCTCGGATTTGGCCAAGAAGGACTTGATGATTACGCCTCTCGGGTCCTATAAATGGCCTCGATACGAAACCTTAAACCCTCAACGATCGGTGCTGAAGATGGAGATGCAATCGTAAAGCAACGCGCCAAAAACTCCTACAGAAGATCGAGCTGAAGAATTCAGAGACGTGATTCGCGAAGAGCGTCGGCGAGAAGCGAACGAAGAAGCTGGCGAGGAGAAAGAGAAGGTACGATGGTGGTGGAATTGTTTTGGTTTATTCCTTTTCTTTTGGAGCATAACAACAACTCCCTTTTTATTCCCATTGTGGTTTTGCTTTTCTTTGTTTTCTCCACTCTCTCAAGAGAAAAAGGTTAATGCTTTCATCTTTACGCAATTTGTGAATAACACAGTCACATACACTTTCCAACATTTTTCTATCCATACTATTATTTCTGAATTATTTCTTTTGCTTCAAATTTTCATGTTAAAGTTAAGAAGGGTTACAGTTTATACTATTTTATATGTAGTTTATTTATTTTTATATAAACTTTATTTAAATGTCCATAAGTTAACTATGATAAAATTTTATCAAAAAACTTGTTTTTAAAGGAAAACTTTATCAAAAAACTTGTTTTAAAAGGAAAATTAGTTATACTTCGTTGTTATCAAAAGATAATGTTTTTCTTTCAACAAAAATAATTTATTTTTAATGCATTGTTAACCAAAAATATAATATTATATTTATCATATAAAAAGAAAAATAAAACTCTGAATAGTAAACAAAATAATTAGTGACTTTGATAATTATAACTATCTAAAATTATCATTAAAAGTAATTTAATATTTAATATTTTTGTATTATTAGTACTTATTTAGAAAATATAAATAGTTTTTTGTTTGTGTTTTGTTGAGTTTATTTCATTAAAAGGTTGTTGTTGAGTTTTTATATCATAAAAAGACAGTTATTGTTATAGAGGCAGTTTTTTCTAGAAAATATTACATCCAGAGACACTTTTGAGTTTTTTATATCACCCAGAGACACTTATTGCTCCTAGGACACTTTTTGTTAACAGCTCAATTTATTCCATATATTTATTCTCCTTCTAGTTACCTTCTCAATTAGTTCACGAGCTGTTCAACGTCAATTTTAGCGGGAGACACCTCCCCACCACACATCTTGATTCCATTTGGATGGTCCAGATTTTCTTTTCACTTTATGACAAGACATATATCTGTCTAAATTTCTAACCACAGGATATACCTTTTATTATATTCCATCGACCCTCCACATTATCTCGTCTTAGTAAAGTGTTAATCATAGATTATCACATGTAACTTTTGTTTTCAGATAACAAACCGACGATGAACTCATCTTCTCCGATTACTGCTGCTAAAAGAAGATGTTATTGTTAAACGTTAACCTATCTTATCCAAACCTTGATAGACAATTTATTTTTTTATAAATTAAAAAAATAGAAACAAAACCTTTGATCAAAGAATAATTTTGTTTAAAGAAAGTAAACCTTTTAGAATTTTTTCTTGTTCTATAAAGATAAAATTTCTAAATATTCATATTACTCTTAATATGGGTGAAGAGAAATATAATTATGATATTATGGTTAAGATGCAAATTTTGCATCTTTACCTAAAATAATTGTTTTTACACACAAAATTAATTTTATGGTTAAGATGCAAAATATCATAATTTGAGAAATATACAAATGAGTCGATGTACATGTATCATTTCATATCATATTATAAACATAGACAATATAATATATGTGTACATATTGACGATAATTGACAATATAATATATGTGTACATGTTGACAACATGATTGTACGATACATTGCTTTACGATGTAATAGTAACATTTAAGTGTTCATATTGTACACGTACGTTAGATATGAGAACATACTTCCATCACTACTAGTTGTACAATACCATATATAATATTGTACATATACATTATTATCAATGTGTACACCTAGGAACGTGTATGCCTATGAACATGTACATGTCAAATGAAATGAAGATATCATCTCTATCGTTAAGATGCAAAATATCATAATTTGAGAAATGTACAAATGAGTCGATGTACATGTATCATTTCATATCATATTGTACACGTAGACAATATAATATATGTGTACATATTGACGATAATTGACAATATAATATATGTGTACATATTGACAACATGATTGTACGATACATTGCTTTANTAGACAATATAATATATGTGTACATATTGACGATAATTGACAATATAATATATGTGTACATATTGACAACATGATTGTACGATACATTGCTTTATGATGCAATAGTAACATTTAAGTGTTCATATTGTACACGTACGTTAGATATGGGAACATACTTCCATCACTACTAGTTGTACAATACCATATATAATATTGTACATATATATTATTATCAATGTGTACACCTAGGAACGTGTACGCCTATGAACATGTACATGTCAAATGGAATTAAGATATCATCTCTATCGTTGAGTATATTTTTTAAATGTCAGCTTAAAATAAGCATTTTGTAATTTCAGCTAAGATAAACATTTTTTTTCCAATAAATAGGTTTATGGTTAAGTTACAAAATAAGATTTATGGTTTATGGCCAAAAATACAACATATGGTTTTGATTTTTTCTTGACAATATGTACATGTGACTCATTACCTAATTCACTAGTGTACATATGAAATATTGTACACATGGATACAAAATTTTGTGTTCACAGTGCCATGTACATATGACATTTATACAAATATAATTAGAAATAACGTACACAAGAAATGATTTTAAAATATTTGTCACTTCATTTTAATCATTTTTTAGATATGCACATTTGGAAGTATAGACCAAATAAAAAGAATTTATTTCAAAATCAAAAACATTTGTGGTAGAAACAAAAAAAATGGCAGAGACCAAATGCTGTAAAATCAAAATATTTGTTTGTTTAGATTGCACAATTAAAAGTCTCAGATCAAATTCATGGATAAATTTGAACAAATAACAAACTTAAGAGAAATTGGAGAAAAAAAAAGGAGCTGAGGGACTATATGTGCAAATAATCCAAAGTTCACCATTGTTATTCCAGAGAAGTTTTATCTTCCATCTGTGACCAAAAATGGTGGTCCTCTCTTCGATCTGTGACAGTGAGGAGGAGATGACTTGACTTCAACACGGGATCACTGTAGAGATCTGACGAAATTGAACTGCGTTTTGTGGTTGACTGCTCCTTCATGTCAGCTATGACGGTTAACGAGGACCTGTTTGCGGATTGAAGTTGTTCTCATCATTGTTGTTTCCATTAAATGTTTACACCATTGTTTCTACGGTTACAATAAAAAATAAAGAAAAAGATAAAATAAGAAATGGGTCCACTTATTTATACTTTAGTTAGAAAAGAATAAAATAAATTAAAAGAAAAGTACATAGTTAGAAAAAAGTGTCTAAGGAGCACTAACTGCCCTAGAGTGTAATAAAAAACTTAAAAGTGTCCTATGGTGAAAATAACTCTTTTTTCTAACCAAATGAAAATTAGAGTCTACTTGTTTAGTTTCTTTTGGTTTAAGTTAACAATTAAAAAATAAAAAAATAAAAAAAACAGATCTGACTTTTTCTTCTCTAAAGAATTTATTCTTCTCGTGATTCATCACCATGTATCATCTTTTTGGAGCTGCAAGCACTGCAGCCAAGCTTCTTCCTCCACTTTTATTTGATAACCTATCCCTGCTATTGGAATGAACTCTCCTCTTCGTCGCAATAGGTTCAGACGCAACCTTTGCGTCGTAATCGTCATGCTCGAATCCAAGCGGGTTGATACTGTACAAAGAAGACTTATCGAGTTTTGGTTATAATCTGTCAAAACTTAAAAATTCTGAGAAAATTTGTTTTCGTTTGGTTTTTGGATCTAATTGATTAATGACTACAATATTTTTAAGTCCCTGAGATAAAAAAAAAATGAAGATTGCATGAAGAAAAATCAATGGCGGCTCTGAGGTTGAGTTGTAGAAACGCAGGATGCCCTAATAGGAAGAAGATGACTTAATTACAAAATTGCCACTCGTTTTAAAAAATGTGTACAATTATATGTGTACATGTGTACATCTTCACATATGTACACTTTATTATTAAAAAAATGTACACTCATAACATGTGCACACGATTTATTATTAAAGCAAAACCAAAATTTACATGTGTACAATTATATGTCTGCATGTGTACATCATCACATATGTACACTCTTTATTATTAAAATAATGTATCATAACCATGTATAAATGTGTACGTTTTCACAAGTTTATGTATTTCGTAAATATATACATTAATGTGTCCGCCTACTCACATTTCCACTTCCAAAACTTCAGTCTCCATCATTAGTTGTACACGAAACTACGATGCGGACAGAAAACAATGTACACAATAATTTCTGACAACGTTACATGCAATTTTAACGATGTACGCCGTTGTAACGATATTCATATGTACACTCTTTATTATTAAAATAATGTACCATGCGGAATATCGTTACAACGGTGTACATGTGGACATCGTTAAAATTGCATGTAACATTGCCAAAAATGATTATGTACATTGTTTTCTGTCTGCATCGCAGTTTCGTGTACAGCTAATGATGGAGACTGAAGTTTTGGAAGTAGAAATGTGAGTAGGTGGACACATCAATGTATACATTTACGAAATACATAAACTTGTGAAGACGTACACATGTACACATGGTTATGGTACATTATTTTAATAATAAAGAGTGTATATATGTGATGATGTACACATGCAGACATATAATTGTACACATGTACATTTTGGTTTTTGCTTTACTAATAAATAGTGTACACATATGACGAGTGTACATAAGGAAACAAAATTCACATGTACATTGTGTTAACATTATCGTGAGTTCATGAAGTCGTAAAGGATTACTTATTTTGATTGGAAACCTACAAAAATGCCAAAAATGTGTACACAATCATTTTGATGCATAACAAAAAATTAGGTGTACACATGTACAATCTGAATGTAATGTACACATAGCTTTTTCTTTTTGTTCATTAATATTGTAAAATTACAAAAATAACCTCATCTTCTTTCTTAGATATTGTCGAGCAGATTTCTAATCTCCGCCTATATCGCCTATTTTCCCTGATTCCTTATGTTTTTAACTAGTTTTTAATGTATTTTTACCCAGATGTGATAGTTTTCAGTCCTAATTCATTGTTTTAGTCTTAAGTTCAAACACTTGTAAATTTTTGATTTCTGATTTGTTCCAATGACGTCTGACTCAACAGCGAGATCTCACAGT